TTTCTGCACAGGTTTTAGATGAGGAGGGTTTATTTGCATAGTATCTCCAGGCTCTGTTGCTTTTGGAAAGGGCTGGTTGTGGTGGGGAGTGCACACATCCCGCATTGAGGGGAAAGCAGTGCTCCTATGATGTTCTGTTGACTCACCCGCTTCCCTGTTTCTCAGGCTGGGGAGTTGGCTAGCAGGATTATACGGCTGTGGTGGCCACAGGGGAATAGTTGATAACACCGTGCCACTTTGAAAACTTTAGCTTGTACTGAATGGTGTGAGTGGGAAGTTTCAAGACCTCTAAGGAAACTGTCTCTCAAAGGCTCAGGGCAGACAGGGCTACCTCCTTTGCTTACCTCCTTTATATTGACCTCCTTTGTTTGCAGTTGTCACTATTTTGTAGCACAGAGCCTCACAAAGCAAACAGGTTGCAGGTAAAATCTGAGCTGGTTTCTGTTTCTGCTGGCTGTTGGATACCAGTCCGTCCTCCAGCATGACTTTACTTGTGGGGTCCCCACCTGTGCAGAGTCTGAGGCCTTCATTCCTCCATTGTGAGAGGGAGAGAGCTGGAACAGAGGAGGGTTTTTTTAAGCAACTGAGGCATTTGTGTTGAAAACAGGCAATTAGGAATTGAGCTATTCTGCTGTAAAGTAGGGAATTGAGTGCTGGTGGTGCAAGCAAACCCCTTGAGATGAGCCTGGTTTTTTCTGTCTAAGAGAATGTCAAAGAAAAGCAGAATATGAGTTTAAAAAAAAAAAAAAAAGATTAGACAGATTCAGGGAAACAGCTTCCTGATTCCCATGAGGTCTAATAAACACAAAACTGTGGATAGAGCCTCCAGCTTGGGAAGTCCTTTAGCCCTCAAGTGATGGAGAGTGTGAGGATGTATGCAGGAGGAGCATTCGTTTTGTCTTGCTCGGTTACCCTGCTCCCTCTCCAAGCTGTCAGGGTAAGTCATTGCAACAGGCAGACCTTTGGTGTGACCCAGCACGGCTCATCCTTTGTTCTACCTTACCTCGTTACTCCAACTGGCTTATTTCTGTGTTAGCTATTCTGTGAAGGTTTCCTGTGGTTACGGGATGTATCCTGTGGTTACGGGATGTATGACAGTGGTGTGCCTGACTGCTCCTCAGCACACTGCTAGGCAATGCCCTCAGCCCAGGGAACTGCAATACCACGTCTGCTTCTTAATCCAGAGCAGCGCTATTACAGGCACAGCAGTGATGCTGAATTAGGATTTGTCCAGCTGAGAGCAGAGTTTAGCTTTCAATCAATACCAGCCTTTTTATTTTTCTTAAATGGTGTGTGTGTTGAACAGGGAGCACGGTGGCTCACCATGCATCAGGAAGGTGAAGCTGGAGCAGGAGGCAGCAACACAAGCACAGCCAAAGGGAAAGATGCCATGCTGTGGCAGGAACAGAAGCGGGGCTGGGATTTTACTGTAGGGTTAAGGTGAACTGATTGGGAGGCGGCTCTGCAGTCATGTCCTGCCTCTTAACCCTCAGTGGCCTTGTGCCTGCATTCAAGGTCATGCTGGGTCAGCAGGGAAATCTGTGGAAAAGTGACCACAGCCAGACCACTGTACTGAGCAGCAGCCTGCAGTCAGACTGGCTTATGCTGCCCATGAAATGCCACCTTGGGCTTCCAATTTTCCACAAAAATGTCTGACAGTTCTTTACATATGTATGCATATGGCTACATTATTACTCACCCTCAGCTTCTTCTGTGGGCTTGCTCTTCCATAAAAATGCTGAGCAATTATAAAAAGAAATTTAGAGACAAATGCATGTACAGGGCGCTCTCCTTCCACCTCTCAAATTAATTTTCCATCTTGCCCTTTAGATAAGCAGTATTTCTGTGGCAAGACCATTCCCTAGAGGATGAACTGGTTTGAACTTGAACTTCTCTTTTATTTTGAATACGTAATGAAGTCTTCAGTGGGCCAGGGAAAGTGAGTGATGATAGCTTTGTCCTGGGGGGATGAGTTCAGGCAGAGTGCTTGACTTGCAGCCCATATGGTTGCCTTCACTGCTGGACTCGTAGATGCTCCGCGAAAAGACCACGTGCCTCCTTCAGCTCCCTCTTCTTTCCCCCTCCAGCTAAAACTGAAAAGTCTTGAGGAAAATGCCACAAAGCCTCATCATAATTTCTCAGTGAAACAGGGCACTGCTTCTGGACAGACTTACAGTTAAATATGTAGTTTCTCTATTTGTCGTGCAATTTAAGCACTAGCAAATAGTGAAGCTTACCTGTTTTGTGTAGCGGTAACTGTGTGCATGTGTTTTGCAATAATAAATGATAATTTCTGGTGTTTTATGACTGCTGTGTTCTTGCCTTTGAAGGAAGAGGAGCTAATTGGAGACTTCTTTTCCTCCCTTTCCTTCCGGTTGAGAAGGCCCAGATTGCCAAAGCACTTCACCCATCAAAATTATGTCCTCTCTAAGCTCTTTCAGAAACCCTCTGCGCTTAGTTCAGGCTCCATACAGCATCCTTCAAGGGAACAGCCATTCTACCACTGTCTTCAGGGGTCACACTCTTCCAGAGCTCTTCTGAGTATCTGGTTTTGCAGTTCCCCGCCACTGCCCCCTCCTGCCTTTGCTTCAGCTTCTGTTTGTCCCCTGCCCCTCCTTGGCTTGCATCCAACGCTGTGCAAAGAGCCCGTGCTCTGTGCACTGCATTCTTCTGAAGTGTGCCCATGCTGCCTCTTTTCCTCAAGCCCACAGAGAAGTGGCTACACTCAGAAGCACAAATCTCTCGTTAAAACCTGCCCCACCATTTCTGACTGCAGTGCACCCAGCAAGGAGGGCTGCTGCCGTTTCAGCCAGCGGCACTGGTGTCAGCTCAGTGGGAATTCACCTTGCATTTGCCACATGGTTTCTGCAGAGGGACAGCTGCTAGGACTAGCCTTTTCTGTGGCTAGTCATACACTCTGTGTTGCTTTCCAATTATTGCCTTCTAAGTCTGTGGGGTGTACACCCCACTGGAAGTGGAGCTTAGTGTGTTGTGGGTGAAGATTACTGAGAGTGTTTGACTTCAGCTTTTATTCTCTCTAGTAGCCACAAAATGGTCTGTATGCACAGTCAAGGCATGTTGGCTGGGGCTGACTTCAGATCATGTCTTTTCTGGTTTTAGACAAAATTACTGGTTTCCTTTCAGCAAGCAACCTGCTTAATGACCCAATTCATCCCTGTTTGCTTACTGGGGAGCTGAACATCTTGGTGGGCAATAGGGTATCTGCTGAGGCATCTAATGGGCTGTCTTTTCAGCCAGTCTCTGTAACAGACTAGCAGGATCCACAGTGCATTTAAGAGCTTTATCGTCCCAGCACAGAGCAGAGCATCAGCCCTTTTCTTGGAAATCCTGTAAGAGTCACAGCTGCCTTCCCATTAGTTTCAGGTTCTTATTTCCATATGGTGGTTACCCCCATGGCAGCTATGCACTGTAGCACATCCATCAGAGCCCAGCCACCCTGCCTGGGGCAACTAAGACTTCAACAGTCTCAGAAATGATGGGGGAACAAAAATACCCATTCCTTTATGCTGTTGGTTTTCTGGGATGACTATTGGCAAGTCAGACACACACAAGGGCAGAGGCCAAGTTCAGAGCCTTGTTGTGCAACTTACTCTTTCCTGCTTGTGGGAGGTTTTGAATTCACCCAGGTGAGGGAGGCAAACTGCTGTCAGGGAAGTAGAGGCAGGGAGAAGATAAAGCTGAAACAGACGTAGAGGGGAAGGGAGAAGGGCTGAGAGCTGCTGCTTCCCTCTGTGGTGACCAAGCACTGCTGCTGCTGATCACCACTTCTTAGGCCTGCTCCCATGCTACAGGTAAATCTCTTATTGCAAATCCCAGAAGTCCTGGGATAGGTGTGGATGGCTGCTTGAAAGCATCTGTCAAGGAAGCTGCATGCCCAGGCTGCTTTCCCCAGTGTTAGCAGTGCTGTGGGAGCATGATCTGTCCACCAGCCTGGAGCAGCAATGTTGCATTGCATCTTGTCCTGACAGGGAAACTTCTTACAGGGGTTTGATCACTGTGAAGCCATTTCAGAAAACTGACAGCGTTTGCTAATGCTGAGCTCATGTAACCGTGTGAGTCACGAGTCACGTTGTGCACTGGTCTCGTTTTGGTGCAGCATGTCAAATCAACTGGGGAGAAGCAATACCAGGGCCTGCTTAAGGAAGAGCTGCTCTATTATTTTTCTTACTCAGATGTTTTTCTCCCTTTCATCTCTTCATTTTCTTACATGCACTGTGACTTTCCTATTTAAGGCTCATTGTTCTTTCAAAACAGAGCCTTACCCAGTTGGGGTGTGCCAAGGGTTACTCACAGGGGATGCTCAGGCCATTCCTACCTGAGCACTCAAATATCCCAGACCAATAGCAGACGCAGGTGGGAGAATGGTTCACATTTCGGTGTGCAAGGCCCAGCTCTGAAGTGTTTCCTCTTCACTGCCCAAGCAAGACTCTCAAGGAATGCAAGAAAAATCCTCCCTGAATTAAAAATGTCAGCCAGGCCTGTGGGATTTTGCAGCCAGAGATTAAGCCCTCTTTCTATAGCTTCCTCACCAGAAGTGATGAAAAGCAGCCCAGGCTGATCTGTATTAGTCCTCCATGGAAACACGAAAGGCTTAGGGAGTAAAACATTCCCAGACCCAGTGCTGAGCTGAAGTACAGACCCTGCTCCACTTTGCTTGGAAGTCACTGTGTCTCTGCCCTACTGTCCCCCAGGAAACTGCATGATTTTGTAGGCAGGCCCAGAGCCCTCTCTGAAAGGAGTTGAAAGCATTAGAGAAACCCAAATGAAAACTCAGTGAGCACCCAGCCATGAGTCCCCATCCCTAGGAATAGCTGAGCAGACTGAAGAAGAGATGCCTGAGTATCTCCTCTTGTTTTGTTGGTGGCAGGCAACTAAACATCAGGGCTCAAGAGAAATAGTTTTCAGCTGTGGAAAAGGTAGGCAAGCAAAGGTCTTCAGGGGGCAGGAACACACTGCTCTTTGCATTTTCTTTCTTCCAGGAACTTCACAGAAATCCTTATTTGATTGTGGATGGAGCTAGCAGATTTGATATCATGCAAGGAGAAATAGGTAAGGTCATATTCCTGTTTTGGAAAAGATTGGCACCAAGCAATTATTATCTGTTATCACCACAGATTATTATCTGCGACTGCTTTGCTATGTTCTGAGTGCTTGGTGGGAAGACGTGGACCATGGTAGCTGCAGTAAATAATGAGTGCTGGTCAATCCAGACTCACACCAGTTCACACACAACTCATTGCAGATATTTAACAGGATTCCCAAATGCAGCAGGTCTAATCCCTGTTACTTATATACAGTACCTGCCCTCTGTGTATATAAGGACAAGCATAGAAAGTGAGGTCCAGCTGAGATCAGACAAATGCTTCAAGTACAAAGGTCTAACCATTTTGGGGTAAGTAGGCACAGCTCCAACATGTGTAAGACTGAATTTTATTTTCATCCTGTTTCCCTCTGGCAACTCCCAGTGTTTTCTTTTCTATGGATATTTGTGTCCATCTTCTCTGATACTTACCCAGACATGTGTCTGCACCGTGTATCGGTTCCATCTTTTTCTCCTGGCCCATAACCGTCTTTGTCTTTGGGAGCAGCTCTGCTCCCATACAGAAAGAAATGTCTTCCCATTTCTCATCCCACTGAGAGGTTTGAAGATTTCCGAAACAATGTTCTGGACTGCAAGTCTCAACATGACCACAAAAGATAGGAGCAGCATAAAAGTAGAAAAGGATGGCTGAGTGGCATCAGGGTTCCCAGGGGGCATTGCTGGTGAATACTGGGTAGTGTTTCAGCATTTTGGGGAAGGAAGGGAGACAGAAGAATGTTGGTTTCTTTTAACAAGCTGCTGCTTAGATGTCTTAGATGATGAAGTCCACTTGCCTAAAGAGTTAGTTATGTCCACAACAGTGAGTAACTGACTGAATGCACTGGGTTCTTCCCTCCCTTGAGGTTGCTGCTGGATGCTGGCTGCCCTGGGCTCTCTGACACAGCAGAAGCATTTTTTGGAAAATGTTTTACCAAAGGGCCAAGGATTCCAGGACAATTATGCTGGGATTTTTCATTTCCGGGTATGTATTCTCTGCTGTATTGGTACTACTCAGGGTTGGCTAGTTGGGTTATATAGGGGTGCAAACTGCAGTCCCAGATCTTGACATCCTTCACTGCTTTGGTTCTTCAGTGCTGACTCCCAGTTTAGAATTTTGCAGAAAATCCCAAATTTTCTAATGGTTCCTTGTGCTCCAGGTGGTGCAATCACACTTCAGGGAATTTGAAGCCCTTTTCTGAAAGGTATGATTCCAGAGGTATAGATACCAGCTGTTCAGATGGATTTGTGTAGGTATATGTTGTAGATGGCATTCTGGTGTCTGCTTTGATTTGGATAGTTTTTTATGGCTGTCAGCACACCTGTGTTCTTTATCCATTTGGACTCATTTTCTGTTTCCCCCTGTACTTCACCTTGCCCTTTTAGCTTGTGGAAATGCCTTGAAATTACAAATCCTTGGAGACAGATCAGAGGAACAGGCTTTCGGTATTTTGAAAAGAGATTTATTTTGGAGAGAGGAGCAAGGCTTTTTAATAAATCTTACTTTCTACCTACTCTTGAAATTCTCTGAATCTCCCAGGAGGGTGACTGGGATAGTAACTGGCAGGCCCTGCTTGCTTGTATGTGAGTCGACCAAATATCTTGTGGGATTAGAAACACTTTCAGTAGCATTAAGCTCCAGAAGCTAAACTGGATGTAGAGAGAATCGGTATATACTTGGCCATTCATCATCCCCCTTTTTTTCACAAATCTGTTTTGTTATATGCAGTTCAGTACCAAGCAAAGAGCTCTGGCAGCGAGATGTCTTTGACCTCCTGGAGCTCTCGTGAAGCAGCACCAGGAGGATTATCTCATGGGCAGTCTAAATTTTGCTCTGTTCCTTTGCTCCTTGGAATACCAGATGTTTCCATCTTGGCCCATTTCCAGCATGCAGAGGTGCACTGTATGAGATAAACCAACTGAAGGGACACCAGTCCACTTAAAACACATTAAAAGGATGCAAGCTAGATTGTCTTTCATGAGAGCTTTGAAAAGATTAGTTAGTAGCAATCCTTAAATCTTAAGCAGTATAAATACCTTACAGTATTTGAAAATGTTTTCCCTGTTATCTCATCTGCAAATCAATGCAACTGTTTCTGGATTTCCTTGAGCAATAAACCCCTGAGAAAGCTACTCTGAATGGAAATGCTTCTTGGCAATGCCTTTCAATTATTCCATCAAAGTTATTTTACTGCCATCCACAGGCTAAGCCACCAGTCCTCAGTTCAGTGAAGAATCGCAAACAAGGCATATCATATGCTAATACAAAAAATTTAGCTTATAACTTTTTTTCACCTTTTTGGATCTGATTGCCTCTCAGGAATACAAAGGGCTGTTCCAGTCTTCCTATACAACACTGACTGTTAGGCTGCAAGGGTTAAGGGTGTTAAGCACCTCATCAGCTGTAGTTAAGACGAGTGATGTTTTTATCTAGGGCATCATTACAATGACATAATTTCACCAGGAACTAAGTTAGTCCCTTGTTTGTATAGGAATCACTTTCTCTGCCACAGAAACTCTGATGCCTGTGAGGCAGGGTGTGCCATGCATTGTGACCGTGAGCAGCAGCAGCTCAGCCTGGGAAAAACCCAAAAATATTCTGCAGGGACTACAGAGGTTTATGGCACAGTGCATCAACTCAAAACAGGGGCGATCTGCCCTGAGCATTAATGTCCCTGCTCTCAGGAAGAAACTGGTGAAATCTTTAAAGGCCGTAAGTGATCAAGACCTCAGTTTCAGGACACATCCAAAAGGTGCCTTTTATCACCATGCAAAAGAGGGTGGTTGAAAGGCATGGGATTTTCACCTTGATCACTTCCAGAACCGGATTTCTCTAAGATCCCTGTCAAAGGAGGGAAAAAAGGAGGCAAAATAACCACACAGTATTCCCCCTCTGACCAGCAGCACCCTAGGCATGTTGTTGTCATCTTGCAACTGTCCATTCTTTTTTCCTCCTCTTCTAAGCCCAGGAAAATAAACTCCTGATTTAAAAGGTTCACCACAAATGTGGAAGTGAAGAACTTCCCTCTTTGCAGCCTGCCTAAATAGGGATTCTTTTTTCATTTACTGTCAAGTTCCCATCTACAGTACTTTAAATCCTGAGGGTATAAAGAAATTTCATCAAGACAGACTCTCAAGCCAAAAAGGGAAGGCATTGGCCCTCTCTGAAGGCATATGGGGGAGCATGGCTTCTCCTGTACCACTCTTGCACTCCCAGAGCATCCTAGGACTTTCCATGAGGTTTCTCATTCCCATAATGGCTTTTCCTGTCCTTGTGAGCTCAAATGAGACCACGATCTGAAAGTCTGCAGCAGTCAGGACAAAGCAGCTCTCTTTATCCAGCTGAAGGAAAAATACAGTGCTGCGTTCAGAAGGCCTCCAAGCTTAAGCCCCCTACCAAAGATGGCCTAGGAACTTGGCTTTTGGAAAAATTTCACTTGGTGGGTTTGGACTGCATTAATCCCCACAGCCAGTTCCATATTATTCTCCTTGTTTACCTGTTGTGTTTGCACACGAAGAACCATGGGGAGGTGTGGCTGGGTGTCACACTTTTTCTCCATACAGAGCTGCTGCCAGGTGTTGACTGGTGACAGGAGGGCATGCCAAGTGACTGAAAGGACAGCTCCTTTCAGACTGCCCTTTTGCCTGTCTCTCTTTTGGGCAGAGGACTGCCAGTGGCAGGCTTTTCTTCCAGCCCCATCCTGCCAAAATCAAGCAGAAGGCTCAAACTGCTCCTGGAGCTCAGTTTGGAGAGTCCAACCCTGACACCTCCTGCCGCCACTAATGTAGGAAGTGAGAGGCTGGGGTGAGGCAGAACGTAAGTAGGATCAAGCCTGCTTTTGGCTTAGCAGACTGTAAGCTGCTTTGCTGCTGGGCAGATCTGGTCTTGTGCTTTTCTAACAGAACAGCTCATTTTGGGGTTTTTCATTGACCAAAACTGTTGAAATAAAATCATGCTAGATTAAATCTATTGCTGGCAAACTTCCACTGGAGTCCTTAGCATTACTGCAAGTAAGAGCTTGGCCTCTTATGATTGCAAATCACGCTAAGCTACATTAATCTGCTAATGACTCTGGAAATGGCTCCTTTAGTTCATCCCTACAGATCTCTTTCTCTACCTTCTCCCTTGAAAGCTTTCATCAGCTGGAGAAACACCTGCTCTGTCCACTTGCTGGAGAGACTGCCTGTGTCCTCCTCATCTATCAAGGAGATGGATAACACCTCAAAACAGTCTCTAGTCACTACACTGTCCCTGTCCATGACAGCACATCAGAGTCTTAATTGAAACACAGAGGAAAGAAAATCTAGAGACCGGATGTTGACAGAGGCTCTCTGGCCAAGAGCTGTGCTGCAGGGGAAAATCCAAGTGCAGCTGAGGAGTGAGGCTCACTGAACCATCTGTGTGATTGTTCTTTATCATCTTGAATGCTTGCTATCGCCCAATAGTATTAGCATATTTCCCATGTTGAATCTTTCCTCCCACTGACTGCAGGACTATTTATATTCCCAAATGACTTCTCCTGCCACTGGGAAATCCAGCCACTTCGTAGCTTGTTTAACAATGTGGACCATTAGCCTGAAGGGGTTCAGGAGAGAACTTGCACATATCCATGCTTTAGATTAATTCCTGTGCTATTTCAGGAGGCTGTTGCTTGGCATGAATATTAGCTCTTAAAAGAGGCTCATTCTTTTCTCCCTCTTCTGTTTTGTTTTGTTTTTTTTTTTCTTTTTTTTTATTTCCAGTTCTGGCAATATGGAGTCTGGGTTGATGTAGTGATAGATGACCAGCTGCCATTCCTAAATGGGAGATACCTGTCTGTATACCCTCGAACATCAAATGAATTCTGGCCATCCTTGCTGGAAAAAGCATATGCCAAGTAAATATACCTGGTCTATTCTTTCATCAGGTGCTGAATGCTTTCTACAAGTGGGTTCATCCCTTTATGCAAAGCACATAGGGAGGAATTCAGGCTAACAGCTGTGTATGTTGTGCTGCCCTTATGTAAGGAACTGTGGCTGCATGCAAACACAGGGCCAATATAACCTGGAGATGTTGGTCTCAGGCTGAAGGCCTAAGTGTACCCAGTCCAACTCTGGGATGTTAATGCTTGAGAAGTAAAATGAACAGGGCAATGGCTGGTGACACAAAAGGGGCTGGGCATCCCCTTACTTTAAGCAAACTTCTTTGGTTCTGTTTTCCTTTCCATATTTTCCTCTGTTTAAAACTGCAGACTCTAAGCAGGGATTACATCTGTTTACAGTCACTAATCAGATATCATGCAGATATTTGGAGCAGGTAATGAGAGGAAGCATGAGTGAAGAACATGCCCAGGCAAAACACATGCACTCCTGTGAGTCTCTGGTCAGCTCTCACTTTACACAGAGAGCTCTGACTCTTGGCTGAGGTCCCCAGAGTACTTCAGGGTTAATAATGATTAATAAAGAGATCATAGTTTTTAAAAATCCTCTGAGGACTGAAGGGAGCAGAATGTGGTCCCCTAGTGTCTGTAACACTGCCCATTATTAAATGCGCTGACGAGAAATTCCTGTGCTAGGGGTAGCACGAAGGGCTGGAACTTGGTGCACATAAGCTGGTGTAACATTTGCAATGCAGTAAAGAGGAGCTGAAGAAGAGAGCTAATTATTTTGGCAGATTTGGTCAGGAATAAGCAAATGTTAAAGCAGCATCTGAGCGACTCAAGAATAGGATGCATTTTGCCCTGAGATATCTCAGAAAAGTTAACTCAGTATTCAGTATCAATTTGCTGCATAAGATTTTAATTACAAAGCAAACCAAACCTCTATTAAATTAAAGTTGCAAGTGATGCTGTTTATGAGATTTCCATTTGAGAAGTTTTTCCCCAGTGCCCATGACAAATTCTTTTCATCAGTGTAGGACAAGGACAACCCTTCAAAATACAATTAGCTGCAGACTTCATTTGATTACATTCATTAAGTACAGTGTGTATGGTGGGGTTTAACAGCATGCTCTACCTGCTCTAAGTACAGCATGTTCCAGCTTATTTGCTGTCTCAATAAAAAGCACACGATAAAAACAACAAGGACTGTGTTGGCAATATTAAATTATTATCCTATTATTGCACTCTAGCAGAGTGAATTGGGAACAGTGCTGAAAACTTGTTTCTGTCTTGCCTTGGAAGCATGGGCAAATATCTTCACCTCTGTTCATCCTATTTCTCATTTGCAAAAGGGATAATGGCCATTTTTGTGAAGAGTTATGACAAAGTATGATGTAGAAACTAACAGTTCAGCTCCATTTGAACTGAAACATCCATTGGAACTAGTCACCCTTGGCTCCCTTCCTGTTCAGAAGAAGGAAACTGGATGCTTCAAGATGAGATGCAGCTCACCTCCCTAAAATCTCTGCATTGGCATGAGATGCACCTTATTGTTTTCCGCTGTCTGTAAATGACTCGACAGCTGCCTCAGATGTGAGTGAACACATAGGAAAAAGTCCCTCTTTGCCTCATTCATTCCACAGGGCATGTGTTGTGTTTGGCCATGTATTTCAATCAGTCAAGTTTCCTTTCATTACCTAGCCCCAATATCTACACACCCCAGGCTGACCGCCTCAGTGTGCATGTCCATTCTGGAAGCCATCACTGTACATTGTTTATTAAAACACAGTGTAAGGACTAATTAACTTTCCTCCCACCAGGTTACGGGGCTCCTACCAGAACTTGCATGGAGGCTACCTTTCTGATGCTTTAGTAGACCTCACAGGTGGAGTCCAAGTGCAGTTTTCATTGAAGGATCCCCCTCCTGATCTGGAGGAGATACTGAAAGCGGCTGACAAATCACGAAGTCTGATGGGGTGTAGCACCTCAGGCCAGGTGAGTAACAGGGCCAGGAGCACACCTTTCTTGGTGTACCATGTTTGCATAAAGGTTTGAGTGAAAAAGAAAGTCCATAATCACTCCATGTAATAGTTATAGCTTATGGATGCCTGAAGAGATCTTGGCAGCGGAAAGTAGTTGTGCAGTAAGTAATGTAAAGGCTTTTGGGTAGACGTAGATGGATTGGTCTGTCAGAGAGGGGTCTGTGGCTTCTCTCCTGGCTAATTCCACTGTGACAGTGGTATCTTCTTGCAGCAGGGCTGATTTTGGCCTCATAGCTTTGTGATAGATTCTAGCAAGGCCAAAATGCACCTCACTTCTGCGAGAGGTTGCTATTATCACATTGTCATTTGCAGGCTACCTATATTAATGCTGGGAAGTTGCAAAAGGCTTTGTGATGCTCAGCCAGTATCTTACTAAAAAGCTTGCCAAGGCTTCCCTTACAGCGCATAAGGGAAGACTGCAAAGCATGTGGCATTGCTCCTGTAGTGCCTGGTTCATCAGGACACAAAGCTCAGCTGTTGCAAACAAGCCAAGGACTAGCCCCTCAGCTCAGGTGGCTGATGCTGGGCTGTGGGTGGCAGGGAAATTCTGGGGCTCTGATCTTCCCAGTGACCCAGTCCAGGTCATTCTGCAGTTGCAGCAGCTCTGGACCATTGAAGAACTTGCAAAAAATATGTGTGGTTTTGTTAAATTACTGGGCTACTTATGGCTGCAGTGGGAACAACAGTTACCTTCCTCTGGAGTCACTGTATCTGAGATACTGCTGTAGTCAAAACCAAGTCTATTTTTCTGCCATACCAAATTATAGTTCTGGGAGTTGATGGCCATACCTTTGCCGCATGGCAGAGAGCTAAAAGCTGTACTTTCTGCCTTCTGCAGCTGCGGAGGAACAAAGAGCTGAGGAATGGGATTGTACAGGGTCATGCCTACACTGTCACAGGAGCTGTGAAGGTAAGACCAAGGACTTGCCTGGTGATCTTGTACTGGTGATCAAGTACAGGGCAGTCACACTGCTGTTCCATTCAGAGTAATTTTAATTAGTTTAGGAGGGATTGTTGAAAATACATAGTTCAAATTCCAAGAGATGGAAGGATTCTGGCACAATGGGAAGAGGGAGGATATCTGAATCCTATAATTTTTTCTAATGGAAAAATGCAACTTGAATTGACTTTTGTTTAGGGACACTTCACCAGCAAATACAGCATTTCTGTGGATTTTCATTCCATGCTGACTCTTAAAAAAATCACTTTTCTGTTTCAAATGGGAATAGAAGCACTGGCTGAAATTCTGGGATTTGTCATATGATGCAAATCTACATTTGTTCAGCTCAATCACAAGCTGCCAAAAAATCACTGTGTGAAAAGTAAATAACTTGCTGGTTCAAGAACAGCATTTCTCCATCTTTTAAAGCTGTTCTACTCATGCAGAACTTCTCCTGGCTAGATAGTAATATTGCTGATCTGAAAACAGGACCAATTTATCACACAGATCAAAAGAAATGAAGGATTTTTTACAACCAGAAGTCAGAACATGGCTTACCCCAGTAAGCTGTAGTGCACACAGGGAGTGTTAACAGTAAGCAAGGCCAAGAAGGAAACCAAACAATGGCTATGCTATCAAGCAAGACAGCTACAACACATTTTAATCTAGGAACTTAAAGTACTTTGGAAAGGGGACATTGTTTTTCCTAAGCTATTTTCTCCCTTCTCCCCCTCTTTTTAATGGTTTCCCGTATGAGCCTGGCTTTGGTTTATAGCCCCTCATGCCATGGCATGTTTGGTGCCATCATAGAATCATAGACTACGCGCACCTACTCATACATAGAATCATAGAATGCTTTGGGTTGGAAGGGACCTTGAGAGATCATCGAGCCCAATCCCCCTGCAGTGAGCAGGGATTAAACCTGTGAACTTGGCATTATTAGCACCATGTTCTAACCAACTGAGCTAACCCAGCTGGTCATCATCATAGTCAGTGTGCTGCTTCTCAGAGGATGCTTGCTTGTAGCCAAGAGGCTCTGAAATGGAAGGATGGGGGTTGCCAGGCTCCGGAGAAGGTCCCAGCTGGCTTTCCCCAAGACAGGAGTGGAAGGATCCCAAATCTTGTTGAAAAGGAAGCAGGCTCTTTCAGCTTCCTGCTGCTCACGATGTGTGCAGAGGAGAAAGAGTCTTTGCCCCACCTTTACAGGAGTGCCAAGGCATCCGGGGGGTGTTCTGTGGGGAAATGATTTGAGGCTGGCCATGGGCTGGGCCTTTGCCTGGGAAGAGACTGCCATAGCTTTTGTTTCCAACACTCGCTGTGTGCATAAGGAGAGCCAGAAACAAAAAGGCTTGCTTCTCCTTTCCACTTCCACCATTTCAGCTTCACTGGTGAAAGTGAGTTCCTTCTGGCTTAAAGCAGTGACAGCAAGGGGAGAAAAGCACCAAAACTCCGGCTGTTGGAAACTACAATACTGTAGATCTAGAGACACAGATTCTGTTTATCGTCATCTCTCCATGCTGACTGTCGACATTCACTCCAGGCAGTCTGGTGGCCTGGTTCCTGAAAGGCTCTGCCTTTGCTGACTCACATCATCAGATGTGCAGGATTAGGCACTGGACTATCCCAAGGCCATTGAAGTCATGTGGTGTGGCAGCAACGCTGCTGCTTCCCTCTGTGTCAGCTCTTTGCTGTCCTCTGGAAAGCAAAATGGGCACAATTTTCTCCCACACGTCATTCTTTTACAATGTAGCAAAAGGCACTGATTTTTAGCTGCAGTCAAATGAGATCAGAAGTTAAACCAGACCTTCAAGGCATAGAAAATATCCATTTTATTACCCATCTCTTCACTGAATATCACAATCGTGAAAAACTATGACTGAGTTTATTTTTCTCTCCTCTTTACAGATACGCTACAAGAATGGCTGGAAACATATTATCAGGATCTGGAATCCATGGGGCCATGGGGAGTGGAAGGGGCCCTGGAGTGATAAGTATGGTCTTAAGCTTTAATCTCATAAGGAGAATCGCTCTTTCATAGGCTTATTGTAAAGGACCTCTGCCTTGCACCCATTATAATGAAGCAGACATTTCTAAATCACTTCATTATAAGCATTATTTCCATCTGCAAAGCAGCTGCCCACAGAAATCCAATCCAGGGAAAACTAATGCAGCATTGGTTTTATATGTGCTCCTCACTAGGCCTAGCTCAGGTATCCCTTTTTGTCTATGTGTACATTTTTCCCACTGGGTGATTCCAGATAACTCATGGATGAAAGAGTGGTTATTACCTGGAGTAAGCTCTGGCCATGCCCCTAGACACTGGCTGGCTGCTTCTAGTGAATTCTCCTGTAGCAATCGTGCATCCACGTTCCTGCTCCTTCTTCCCCTCTGTCCTGGTTTCAGCTAGGATAGAGTTAATTTTCTTCCTAGTAGCTGGTGTAGTGCTGTGTTTTGGATTTAGTATGAGAATAATGCTGATAACACACTGATGTTTTAGTTGTTGCTAAGTGGTGCTTACACTAGTCAAGGACTTTTCAGCTTCCCATGCTCTGCCAGGTGCACAAGAAGCTGGGAGGGGGCACAGCCAGCACAGCTGACCCAAACTGGCCAAAGGGCTATTCCATACCATATGACATCATGCTCAATATATAAACTGGGGGGGGTTGGCCAGGGGGCAGTGATCACTGCTCAGGAACTGGCTGGGTATCCATCAGCAGGTGGTGAGCAATTGCATTGTGCATCACTTATTTTGTATATTATTATTATTATTACTACTTTCCCTTCCTTTTCTGTCCTATTAAACTGTCTTTATCTTAACCCATGAATTTTACTTTTTTTTTTCGATTGTCTGCCCCATCCCACTGCGGAGGGGGAGAGTGAGTGAACGGCTGTGTGGTGTTTAGCTGCCTGCCGGGTTAAACCACAACACCCTCCCATGAGCCTGAATCTGGGAACAGGACGGTTAGCAGAGGCCATGAGATAGGGCAGTATTTTTATACAGTATTGAACACAGAGAGACAAAAAGGGTCCTTGGTTATTGCAAAGGCAGAGTGCTGCTAGATGGCTTGAACTGATCTTTTGGATCCTGCATGCAGCTTTAGAGATGCAAGGACCACTTTGCTGCTGTGTGCATAAGCTAGCTTCTCTTTCCTCAGGAAAGGAATGATACAGAGGAAGACTGCAAGAGTGTTTTGGAAATAAATAGATGTTAGTTTTCCTGGTGGGATTACATCAGTATTTTCCTGACTGGAGAGATATTCAGGTGTCACTCTTATGTGATTTAATAGCATCCTACCTCTCCCTGTTGCTAGGAGCACTCATAACTTCTCTGCTGAGAAAAGTCAGGCTAGCATGTTTCATCTGGATGGGTTGGCGGGTGGTGCAGACATGTTTAAGGCTGGGATAATAGCTATCTGCTCAGACAGCATCCTCCCATCTTTTGGAAGGGTGAACTATAATCGTAACTGTAATTGAAATGTCAGTAGAGCGCGTTCACAGGTAAGCTGCATAAATCAATAAATTATTGATTCATGCTCTGTTTATTTGTCTTACACTCTGCAGAAAGCACAATTATCACTTAATTATAAACATGCCGCTTGAAAACAACACATTTGAGTGGCTAATGTGCCCTCTACACGTCAATGTAATATCAGCACTTCAGAGTTCTATGCCTTGGTACCTCGCTAACCTCTCCAGGTGACCAGGGCTTGGAGGGCAGAGGCAGGATTCCCCAGGGTGGGGAATCAGGTAGGCACAGCAAAGGCGCAGAGCTCTGTTTGCTGGCCTTGGCTATGAAGGTGTCGAGCACAGTCCTATTCCCGACATGCAGTTTGCTCACCCTCCTGATCCCTCATGACTTGATGGGCTGGTTAGAGGAATGGGCTGGCCAGAGAAATGGATAATTGTGCCTCACATCTGCTTGTTGATTTGTTCCTGTTTGCAGCTCTCCTCAGTGGGACCATGTTGAGCCTCGATTCAGAGAAGCCCTGCTCAGAAATAAGAATGATGGAGAATTCTGGTATTTCCCTATCAATCCTTCTGTCTATCAGGTTTTCTGTTCATGTTCATTAAGAAAAAAGAGTAATTTAGGCAGTTCTCTGCTCTTAGTGATGGCTCAAGGTACCCTGTGTTAGCTGTGTGCAAACAGCAAATTGGAGGTTGTCCTGACCCCATGGTTTCAGAGGAAACAAGACCTGGAGAAGTGGAGCTGGCCAAGATTAAGTAACAAGCTGGTGAAAAAATGAAAAGTGGGAAAAGTAAAAATCCAGCTCCCTGAGACCTAGTCATTTTGTCACACTGCCCTTCCCCATAAAGCGCCTAGCTTGAACCTAGGGGGGTTCAGGTGAGCAGACAGATGGCTCAGCAGGTCATAGAGCTTGTGCACTTGACTGCTCTGCAGGTGCTTGTGGTTTTTCACTGCCTCTGGTTGCTCTCAGATCCAGTTTAGCCATTTGTGAGCTATCCTTTGGAAAAGTTATTATTATTCAGGAAGTGCACACTTGCCCTGTGAGGCTCTGAGGAAAGCAGGGGAACAGCAGGCTGGTCTGAGTTAGACACTGCAGTCTTGAGCAAAGCATGAGTGTGGGGCAGGACACTGTGGAGGGACGAAGCAAGGTGCAGTGGCAGAGATGTGCTGGAGGTAGCAGGGCTCCACCAAGGTACTACTGAACATGCCCTGTAGTTTCCCTGGGGTTTTAGGTGCAGTTAGGGCAGCCCAAATGCACTGAGAGCTGACCTCTTCTGCAAGGTATCAGCCAGCTCAGCTACAGCCTGCAGTGCTCTCTGTAATCCCCTTTTAAAGACAACAGGGGGTGAACATGAGTACCTGACTGGTGTCTCAAACTGAAAGGTGAGATTTTTCTCCTTCTCTGCAGGATGTCCTGTGAAAACTTCAAGGAGCAGTTTTCATGGCTGTGTATATGTAATAGCACCCCAACGTTTCTGGACTTTGGAGATCAGCACTGCACAACGTGGTCCGTGGACAGGCACATCAACCTGTGGAGTCCAGTCCTTGCCACAGACAGGAACAAGTGTTCTCCAGGTAATAAACACTCACTGCAGTCTCCCAGTCCTCTCCTCCTCTCCACTGGTGCTTACAGTGAAACATTCACTCTGAGCACCAAATTGCAGAAATATTGATTGCCAGTTGTTAATGCCTGCCCTTTCGCATTACAGCATCTATCAGCTAAAGAGGCAGAAACAAAACAGCAGCATTGGCTGCTGAGTTAAAACAGGGGACCTGTGATTTAGAAACCCTACACTCTTTCAATCAAAATGTGCTTGTCTATCTTCTTTCAGCCAGTTGCAGTATGTGTTACTGGGGACCTCATCAGAAAGTCTGGTCTGGCAAATATGTGGCTGGTTTTACAGAGCGAGAAATACTCTGAAATTAAATGGATACGAAATGAAAGAATTGTGCTCTATTTTCGAAGGTAGAAAGGCCTTTGAGCCGCTAAGACCATTGGTTTTACTGCCTGTGCAAGGACTCTTCTGGCATTGCGAGCTCCGATTATTAGTAGTATTTTTTACCTTACCTTACCTTACCTTACCTTACTTTTCTACAGCCGCATCACTATTTGGGCTCTGTGTTTTTAATCTAAGATGGTAGCATGTGGTCAATGAAGGAGCTTCTTTCTTCTGCAACGCTGATCCCTGACTTAGCAGCAAACAGGTTTCAGCTTACAGGTTTCAGCCTCCTCCTCATAACCTTGATCACCATGTCTCAAGGGGTGATAATAAAGCAATGCCTGTGCTGCTGCCCACCACGGGCACTAGACTGTGAGGACGTGCAGGGACTGAACTGAGAGTGTGTCGGCAGAGCCATTTTCTTTGGAGCTGTGTTTCGCCACCAGCCCTCTAGTAGAGTTTCTGTCCAGGTGCAATCTTGGGCTAAATTTCAGCTTTTGAGGCCACCCAACACAGCTACATGGCTTAAAGTCTAGACTGATTTAAGCAGATGCTACCATCTCAATCCTTTTTCCCCAGTTTGGGCATTTTTCTGCTTTCTTATCAGGGGTGCTTCCTGTTAACCAAAGCCTTGGCCAAGAAGCCTTTTCCTTCTGGTGCTCAATACTCTGTCTTGTCCATCACAAAGACTAACAGGAAGGAAGGGGAGGATAGCTTTGGACCATTTTGTCTTTTTCTTTTATGTGTTTATGGTCTCCAAGCCACAGTCCTTCTCAGCTCAGCCACTGGGTCAAGCACATGATTGAGAATCACTGCTTTTTTGCCTCAGGGAAAGTGAGCCATGTAGGTGAAGAAGTAGTGGGGTTGAGAAATCTGCATGACTTTTATGTCTTTGCCAGAGATTTCTAGAATGATTAATGGGCAACTAGTCTTACTCCAGATGCCTCAATTCCTACTGGCAATGGAGAGACTACAGTGCTCTGTTGTATTGGAAGCATCTTGGAGCAGTAACTACCTGTTCCTCTGGGTCCATATAAGCAAGATCCTACACAATAGGCTACTACTGGGACATCTCTGTGGCTACTACCTATTAACACTTTCTCAGCAGGTGCAGTTTCAACGAACCCTCGTTATTTCTTCAAAGTGCCAGATTATGACCCAAAAACCTACAATGTAGTCATTTCACTCATGCAAAAACATGCTGAGCATATGCAGGATGCAAAAAACCTGACGATTGGCTTTTTGATCACCATGGTAAGCACAATCCGATATTGCGTAGGCACTGTTGTTTTCTGTGTGTCTTATTATACCTGTATGTGGAAATGAAAGACTGAATTGTCTTTTGGGCTGTAGAAGGAAAGCAGTCAGTATTTGGAGTGAACTTCTCAATGTCATCTATCTTAGAACATCACAGGAAAAGTAGAGTTAGGCAGCCTTAGTTTCCTTTATTCATGTCTTAAGAGAGGAAAGGTTGAACTTTCAGTTCTGTAACATCCCCAAATAGCCCTGGGAAACCCAGGGGGTCCATAGGTTACAAGAGATGCCAGGTCAATATCCTCTGTGCCCAGCAGCACTGGTGATATGCCTTGCTGGCCCAGCGCAAGGCATGACAGCCAGCACTAACCACAGCACTTGAGCAGTACTCCAGGTCTAGTAGGGAACAGAATGGCCTCTTGTTCCCCAAAATGGGCCTGTCTTATACATCTCCCCTTTTCTATCACAGAAATGCCATGTAAAAATCCATTTGCAAAATATATGGAAGGCTTTGCTTGAGACCAGTGCAGAGACATTTCAGCCAGATACCTGGGACCTCCATCACAATTTTCCTGTGGTAGGGTTTTTTTGGGTTTGTTTTGGTTTGGCTTTTTTTTTGGTGACTGTCCAGGGAGGTGCCATTTCAAAGGCAGTTATTATCAGAGCATTACCAGGCTTACTGAAAGCACAATTGCTAGTGCGGATGGATGCTAGCCTTTTCCAAAGTGTTTTTGTTGTAGGCTGAGGAGGGTAGGAGGAGGTTGTTCTTAACCTGAAGAACAAAAGGAAGCAGAGATTGGTATGACCCTAACTTTACATTCTCCTGATCACTGGAGAGGCTTGCTCTAGTCCCAGACTTTGAATAATTTATGCCGTAAGTCTAACAGCTCCTCATAAAGGAGGAACATGGCTTTGTAGCTCATAAAAACCAGTGTCTGAGAAATAAAAGATGTAATGAAAAGAGCATCCCTCCAGCAAGTGGAACTCACTATCCCTATGCAAAGAGATCCTCTGCCTGGTGCAGATATCAGCCCTGCAGTGCTCCGTGGGGCCAGCTGTGCCACTTGGAAGGAGCTGCTGCTCCTGGTAAATGGGGAACTTGCTCCTTTCAGCATCCTCATCAGCTGTCCCAGCTCTTGCATGATGTATGCCCACCTTGATTAGTTACCCATTTTGACAGAAAGGACCCTCACTGGGAGGTGATGGCATAGGTCTTGGGTCCCTTGAAAAGAAGTTGTTTAATCAGGAAGTAGACTAGAGGACAGATTTGCTCTATTCTTGCTTTCTATTTAAAATTTCTTTCTTCCCCTCCATTTGATGCTCAGGTGTCTTCATTTAGTTTTTCTCTCTCTTGGTATATTCTCAAGGATGGATGAAATTCAATGAGACATGGCCTCTGTGGGCTGTCAATCTATGGCTCACCTCAGGCTCAGTTTGGGCTTGTGATCCCAGATGACCTCCTGTGAGGGAGCTGAAGGGCAAGGCCAGAACAGGCCGTCACTAGGGGCACCGGATTACTGTGGAGCACCTGGTCAGTGAGGGAAAAAGGACTATCATGGTGCTCTGTCATGCCATAGCTTTTAGTAATGTAATGTTGTTGGTACAAATCCACACAGCAGATTATACAGAAAATATCCCCCCATGGTCACAGCCTAAGTATTTTAACATGAAAGCTGGTCTACCAGCTGCTTGCAGCCAGCCTAGAGTCCTGCCCTGGTAGCAGCAAAAGCCAAGTCCAGGAGCTAAAACCAGGGTAGGTGTACAGCACTATTCCCTTGGTTTATTTCCCAGCATCCAGCCTCAGTGCTTCAGGGCAATCAGAGCTGGCATCTTTGCATAAAAGTTTACAAGGGGTTTCTTTGTGCAGGGAGAGTGCAATTGCTAAGATTCATGTGGCCTCACTCTTCCTCCCTCAACCGCTTTCACTGCCATTATTCATTAGCAGCATCGTTCATTGTTCAGTACCTTTTGAGATGCGTCAAATTGTTGCTGTGAAGTAAAAAGGGTATTATCCCTTGGCAGGATGAGAGGGGAATGCAGTGCAGGCAAGGATGCAAACCAGAATGGACATATCTGATAGCTCTAGGAAGCCTTTGATTAAATGTAGACATGGAGCACTAATACATGGCTGTGAGGGAAGTTTAATGTTGTGTGATAGAGCTGAGCAATGTATAGAGGCTGATTCTTATCTCACACTGGTTTTGACTCCATTGAGATATTAATCTGCTTCTCTTTTTACCAGAAGGAATATGGAATGAGACCCAAAAGTAAAAAAAGGATTACATCATTTATTTCTTTGCAGCACTGCCCGTTTCTGTCTGCTGAAGGTCTGACCCATAATACTTGGCAGTCTACATACCTCCCAGCTGTCTGTAACAGTAGTCATCTTTTTTTTTTCCTCCCAAAATAGCAGTTTTATGTTATTTTCTCCTAAAGGCATGGCTCATAAATAACTCTGCCACGCTGTATAACCATTCTAAATGGAATTTATACACGCTGATGTATTTTGGGGAATATGTTTAGTAAGGGGTTTTTATTATGCTATCTTTACATGTCATCATAGTAATAGCTGTTGCATTATGTTTGTTTCATCTCAGCAAAAATACTGGAATAACAGAAGAAAGATCAGAATGTTCTATTTTCTTGTGACACTTGCTGGAAGGTTTGAGTTGTGATTCTTGAAGCATTGTCATCTGGATGCTTAGTGAGCTCTCTGACCGCTCTGAGTCATGCTAGATCCCAGGGAAGTTTTAGTAAGAGTATTCATCCTTGATTCCTTCATGAACGCCAGTCTGCTTAATGTTAATTGAAGTTCTGTTCAAATCCACTTACATACATTTTGCCTTCTGTTTCTTTCAGTTCTTCCACCCTTGTGCATTTTTAATGTGTCCTTGAACAAAGTCTGTCACCTGGATGGGCTTTTCATGTCACTGGGGATGTTAAGCCATGTTAGATGCAGTGTATATTTAGAGAGCTGTGGGAATGTAAGACTGCTGTGGGTGCACTTGCTGATTTACTTTGGTTCCTGACATAGAGGGGAGCTAGCCAGCTGTATTTTTCTTTCAGCGGAACTCCGAAGTTCTGAAAAAAATTTTTTCCCTGACTCGAGACGTGACCAAATACTTTACCTTGAGCCCAGGAACTTATGCTGTTGTTCCTGCTACAACAGACAACCAAGAATTTGAATTTCTCTTACGAATTTTCATGAAGAATGAAGACTACAATGAGTAAGACGATGAGTACTCCTTATAGGCCGAAGACTTACAGTGTCCCAGGATTTAACAATTTAATGTCAAGATAACTAATGTGGCAATTTGATTTTAATGTACTATAGAAGCGTGTTGGGAAGACACAGCCAAGTGTTAAGCGCCATGTTGAGGAGGATCAGACATATAGTCAGATGCATAGGGATGGCCACTGCAGAACAGGGCAATAGCTCATCTGCAGCCACCAGACTTTGGTACAAAGAGCCACACAAGCGAGCAATAATTGTGAGATATGGCCTGCCAGACTGTGGGAAATTTCTCTTTAGTGAAAGGAGGACTGAGAGCTTTTTTCCTTAACAGCTGTTATATAGTTTCTTATGCTGTGTTGGATGCCAGACAGATCAGGTCCCATCCTGCTCAGAGTGGGACTTAGAGAAGCAAAGAGCAATGAACAGCCTTGATCCTTTCACCCACCCATCTCATAGACAGGCTGATAGGGCTCCCTGTGGGTATGGGTGGGGCCTTGAAGATAAGTTTAGTGGAAAAATGGTGTCTTAGTTCATGCAGAGACAGCTGTTATCACATTTTCATACAAATATCTGGGTGTGCTTTATGTATAGAGCCAGGCTCAGCATTCAGCCTTACCAAATGACCTTCAAGCTTCAGATGTGCAGTGGCTTTCCTTCAGTAAGCTTTATAGTGGAAGTGATTGCAGCTCTTACCTCATAGGCCCATATCTTAATAATGAGATTGCTTTCTGGGCTTTGGCCCCTGGCAAAAATAGCCCAGAACTGACTAAGGCAGCTCCTTAGTTATAGAAAACAAATAGGAAAAGTCTGTGCTTTGGGCTGGACTGCCTTCAGCATGATGAGTCACACACAAGACAGCTCAGCCTTGGGAGGTTGGTCTTTCCAGGAGAGCCTGTGACCCTTACACACCTTCCTGAGCTAGGCCAAGCGTGGGGTTCCCCTTCCTGTGGGTCTCTGCACCTATATAATAGCGCAGATGCTATAAAAATAGCATCTGGCTTGCCTAATTTGTTTACAAAAAGCAAAACTCAGGTATTGAATGTTGCTACTTCAAGTACTGAATGTTGCCACTGAGTCTCAGAAGGAATGGTGACCCCGGCTCAATTTTAGGCAGTCTGCAGACGTTTAAAATATGTTGCCTTTTAATAGCCCAGATGCTATTTTTATTCCTGGCTATTAAACTAGGCAAAGAGAAAGTAGGTGAAAATTTTACATGGCTCGAGGCAGGGCAGCCTTGTCTTCTGTGTGGTGAGGTTAGTCCTGGCATACTCAGAGTGAGAAGGGTTACCCTTTCTCTGCTGCTGGTGCCAGCAGGGCTGGCTCAAAGAAGGCAGTGGCCCCAGAGCAGCCAGAGACTGAGACCTGCTCATGTCTGCTTGCACAGAGGGACCTGGGACTGGTGCAACAGTCTTGACTGAACTGGGACAGGCTGGGAGGTGTGAGTGCTGGGCATCCTGTGGGGCCACGGCTAGGCAAGTGCTCCTGTTGGTGCCTGCCTTCTGCCACATCTGCACATCAATGCTCTGAAAAGGCCTGTTCTCTCCCAGTTTGACTTTTGTAACTCTTTTCTAGGAACTCAAACTACCCACCCAGCCCATTGTTGCCAATGGTAAGAGTCTGTGAAAACTGATGTACATACTGGTGGTGGTGAATGGTTCCCAAGGAGCTGACTATTCAGTAGCCACCTCTACTGACACCTCTTATTCCTTCCCTACATACCAGCCACCACTATTCTCTCCTTTCACCACCCAGTACCTGCCCCAGAGTTTGACTCTGGCACCCTGCAACCTTGCTGGGAGAGCAGGTGGCCAGCCTGGTGTACCTCTATGGAGAGACGGAAGTGACAACAAAGCCCTTCCTCTTCACATGTCTCTTTCAGAGCCTGATTTTTGATGGAAACAAATCTCATACAGTCCCTCTGTCAGCCTCTCCATCTGTCCTTTTCACCTTGCCACCTTTAACACTTTGACTAACCAAATATAGCAGGGGGAAGAGCATTTCAAAGACATTAAATTCCTTCAATGTCTGTAAAAGGGGTATGTATCTAAGGAAGAGAGAGGGGGAAACTCTGACAAAAAGGTCACAGCTTGAGTTTGACCTCTTTTAAAAAGACCTCACACCTGAGAGCAGGGACATACGTGCTATCCCCATGGGACTGGCTTCATTTAAGTGCTTGAACCCTGTAAAGCACAGGATTCCACAGAGGTGAGGCCCAAACCAGATTTCTTCTGATTTTCATCATGATATCTTCACAGACGTAAGGGAAATTACACTTCAAAACTGGTTGTGCCTCTAGTTCAACCCACATTTCAGCCTGTCTAGCCCAGCTACCATTTCTTGATGGACTTCCTCACTGTGAACTGTGCACATTGCCAGAGCTGGTCCAGTCCATCCTGCTGTCTCACCAGTTGCTTGAAAAACCTTACCACTGAGAGGCTGTTATTTGTAGCAGTGCAAACTCAGTGCAGGTCTTTGAAGCCAAAGGTGTAAAGCTGCTTCAGGAGAACAGAAAACAGAGTTCTTTCCTTGTGATTCACTTTCCAGCCTGCAATTAAGCCCCATTAGAGGGGTAGTGTAAATGGTAGCTTATTATCTCTTTCCACTGACAAGCTGTCAGTTTACTTGGCTGTTGTCGGTAGCCAATGTTTTGACTTTGATGAATTATGGTACCCACACTTTCTGCTCTTGTTCAGGTATTTGGACTTCACTGGTGTGAATTATCTCGCACAGAGCTGAAGGCATTAGGATTTAGGCTTAGATTTTTGGGGGAAACTTTATAAAGTTAAGGATAGTTCCCCTTAGTGCCTGGTGGATATCCTCACTGAAGGGTTGAAAAAAGGCACTTAACCATTGAATTGCAACTGCTCAGGTGCAGTCAGGCCTGCCTTGGGATTGAGAAGGTACAGGAGAAAGGAAAAGTCAACACCTGCTCTATTTTCTTGGTTCACATGCCCTATGCCAGTGGCTTCAACCGAGGGCCATCAATAAGGATCAGGCTTTGTATCTCTGTAGTCATGTATTGATTTGCTGAACTCCACCCTGGACGTGTTCCGTTGTCTTCCTCAGGCCCTGAGCTGCTCCTTCCTGGTTGTACTGAGTGATAACATGCAAACTATGCTTCTTTCTTCATTGCAGTAGCTCTTTCTTGCTCCCAGCCCACCTTACTTTTGGGTTGTTAAAACTGCAGCCTGTACTGTACATTCCCTGCCCTCTATAACGTGCTGTTTGCATCTGCAGACTTCTGCCTCCAGTTGTTTTGTAACTGAATTATTTATGTGCATACTTTGTCTTTGATCCAGGATGTACCAAGACAGAACCAGGACAGCTCCTGTAAGGCTGTCTTCCTAAGATACGCTAAGCAGGTATCCTATCTAAAACATCTTGCTGAAAAATAAATAAAAAAGGCATGTGGACTTGTAAAAAGAAAAACTGATCTCTGATGTTGATACAAATCCATTTAGAAAAATGTTTTTTGGAAATGTAGCTCCATCCTCAAGTGGATACCCTGAAAACGGTATTGACTGACCTGCCAAAACCCCCAGAAAAATGGGATATTCAGCTGGGATAGATTGGCTAGCCCCATATATCAGAGGAGGATTGGAGATTTGTGGTTGTGCTGGTGATGGGCTTGCATGTGTACGTTTTGGGGGTTTTTTTGCTTTAGTTTGTTTATTTACTGAAAGCAATTAGAAAGCCTTGGGTATTCCCCCCTCTCATCAGCATCATTTTCCCTTTGCCTTCACGGCATTTGGAAAGCAGACATCACTCAGCATTTGAGTAATTGATTCCTGCTCTTTCAGAGCCAAACTCTGTGTGTTCACAGGAGATGCTTTTAGTGGTTTAATAAACTGTTATAAAGAACTCCTTGACTTAGTCAAGAGGAAAAAAAATCACTGCCAAAAGTCTTTGCACAATGGACCTCTTGCAGTTAATAGTTATATCAATGCATGAAGGTGAAAATGAACACGGGCTGCCATGCTGAATTCCCTGGGGTTGTCTCTGGAGGGAGGCAGTCAGGTTCACTGATGGGTTGGGCAGCTCAGAGGGAAGCAGGCAGCAGCACCTGTACTCCCAGCCCACTCACCCAGCTGCCTGCTGTGCCTGCCCATTGGCAACTCCCCAGCTAGGGGCTGGTGAAGTCAGCACGTGTTCCCATCGCTGCTGGAAATACCCCAGAGTGATGGGGAGTGCCTGTAACTCCCCTGCAGACTCTTGTAGGGAAGGACAAAGAGTGGCCCAGCAGCATGGAGGGCTTTGTTATGCTCCCATGGGGGTGCTGCTGCTCCTCTGATAGAGGCAGAGGTCCTTCTTGGTTGCCACAGTGTGTGAGTAAATAATTTTGGGGCAAAAGTGACACAGGAGAAAACTTTATGCTTACAGATCTCTCTTTGCATTCTATTCTGCATTAGGGCTCAGCTATTAATGCCTCGCAGCTGCAACAACTCCTTAATGAAGTGATCCTGCAAGGTAAAGCTTTTACAACCCAGCTAATGTCATTAGTGCTTCCCTATCCTTAGTCTAGTGTAAATTAGACAGAGGATTTAGTGGTGTCCTGATGGTCCTCAAAAAATCCTCAGTGTGGCTTACTGCACTATTGGATCTTGAAGAATGAGAAGTGCCTTCACCGGGGTTCCTTTGGAACAGTTTGTTTTTGGTTTTTTTTTTAAATCAAAGTAAAGTTCACATGAAGAATGTGATGCAACCCAGACCAGCTGCTAACGGATTTTTTAATGCATGGCTGTCAGCAAAGCTGTGCCTCTGTTTGACAGCCAAATTTCACCTTCCCCTCCCAGATCTGCTGTGGGATAGCCTCTGCTCTGCAGACCTACCCTGCCCCATGCTGTCCTCCTGAACGTCCCTGCAGCCCCCCTGAGCACCCTGTGCCCCACCAATTGCGGCAGGAACTCAGTCCCTGGCTGGGCTGCACCAGTGAGAGCCCCAAGGAGCTGTGCCTCCCCCTCTCTTCACTGTCACCCAATTTCTCCCAGTTCAGCCCTGGCCTGCGTCACTCCTCTGCAGAGGCCTCAAGCTGGCTTTCAGCATTTCCAGCCATCTTAACCTGCCCACCTTGAAAATAGCATGAGACAGGGGCACAGCCAGAGGGCTCAAACCAACTCAGTCATGCACAAGGCTCAAAGTGCTCCTAGGACTCGCTAATTCAGCATAAATGGCCTTTCTTGTCACCGTCATTTCCCTTATCCTTATTTCAAGAGGGAAGGCTTTCCATCAGGGCAGGTAGGTGGGCAGAGACTGTGCAGAGCAGCTACCTGTGAGCCCAAACAGGGCACCTGTCCTTGGGGAAGGGAGCAGTGGAGTTGTCTGAGACACATCAGGCTCCCTCAGTGAGCCTCAGCCTGGCATGTAGCCCTTGCTGCTGTTTGAGACCCTGAGCTGGATCTGGAGCTTGTTAGCTACATAAGCCTTCAGACTGGTGTCCTCCTTCCCTCTGAATGATGACCTGGTGCCTCTGTCACCCCCCTCACTCTCGCTGATTCCTTCTGTTTTGTCAATCCTTGCAGATGAAATGACCAGCCTGGGAGGAAGATTCAGCTTCGATTCATGCAGAGGCATTTTATCTCTGAAGGATGTATCCTTTCAGCAGAAGCAATAAACTTCCCTGGTGCTGCCCATCCTTGCCTTGAGTTATGGCTGAGCTGAGCATCCCAGTGTGAGAAGCTGCAAGTAAATGTTAGCCACAGTCCTTCATAAATAACTGTCCCAAAGTCTGTGCAGGACTTTGCCATGCATGCCCTGGCTCTGGTGTGTGTGCTGAAAGGTGAGGGTCAACTTTCTGCTACCAGCTAACTCTTTGGTCTCATTTTCACCTCTGCAGGGCCCAGGGCTTGGCCAAGCTCCATCCTTGGGCACGGCGTCCCAGGCAGAGCCCAAGGTGAGGAGGCAGCACAAAGCTCAAGCATAGGTCTGCTCTTCCATCAGGGTTGCAACCATGCTGGCCTGTGATGGCAGCTCTAGCAGCCCACTAGCACCACCAGCAAAGCTGGTGTTAGGGGGAGAAGCACAATCATCACCGAATCACAGGCACTTGCCTGGCAGACTATTCATCCTTTCCAGTGTGCCTTCCCTATTTAGATGGATCACGCAGTCTTTTTACTGTTAACAAGACAACACTGGGAATACATTGCTGGCTGTTGTAGAACAAGAGGGCTCCCTGATGAAAACATAAATTCTCCCCCGTATGTTTTCTCCCCCTTGCTTGCTCACTGTCTCTTTTCTTCCATGCTTTGAAATAACTTTGAGACATTTTCAGACCTTTACAAACTGCCATGGAATGAATAAAAATGACCAGAAGTCCCTCTCTCTTTCCAGCTTTCTGCATCTAGCCAGTGAAAGAGACCTTTCCCCCTTTCCAAAGCCCCTCATGGACTAAGTGGGTGCTGTGAATGCATGGCACGTGCAAAGAGCTGACAAAGCCACTGCTCTGCTTTAATTCAGGATGGATTTTACATTCTCTGCGCTGCATTCAACCCATGTACAGTGTGACCTATCCTGACCTGCAAAGACAGGATCAGCTTTTTTCAGTCAGGTTTCATGGCAGTGGCACTTGTCTGCTTATATTTAACTGGTGATGGGTTTTGCTTTCAGGGAGCTTTTGCCCTCCCAGCTGCATTAGGTGAGGTGTTGCGTGTCTGCCCAGGACTCCTAGGTGATGTATGGAGGGGAGCTGGTCCACTGATATAGTCGTTTGAGCATCCGTGGGAGAAGTCTGCTGACACCCATGGGCTCCTGCAGCTCATGGTAGGGAAGTGTTTTGCCTGCAGCATATGCATGGCTCAAAGGCTGCTGCTGCCTTCTGATGGCAGCTATCAGGATCAGCTCCTCGTGCTCTTGGCTCCTTCAGTGCCTGTTCCTCCAGGAGGATCCAGGCAGAGCTAATACTGTACTGCCTCATGCACAGAGGCAAGGCAGTGTGCACACCTTGCCTGGAGCGTGGGGTCATGTTCATCCACAGGGACCTCTGTGCTCGGTGGCTAAATGTCAACTGAAGTGATCACTGCAGGTTCCCTTGTGGTTAAAGGCACAATATAAATAGAAACCTTTTGTTGTTTGTGAGCACAGGTATGAGCAGCTGTACAACGTGCTAAAGAAGGTGAATTTAACTGTAAGTATAATTGAGAGCAGAAAAGCTCTTGGCTTTCTCAACACGAAGTAACAAACGGAAGAGACTGCATCTTACATCTGTCTTTATGTGAAGGCAGCATCCTCGGGAATGAAGACAGCCAGGTTTAGCTCTCATTAACTGTTCAATTCTTAACTAAATGCGCAGCTCAACTCGAATGGACAACTCACACTGCAGCAGTTCAGGAGCCTCTGGCAAAGTCTCACTAAGTACATGGTACATGGGGGTGCTGTCTCTTCTCTGCCGATACTGTACTCTTGGGCTTTTCATCAGCAGGGTGCAGATGCTCTGTGATATCAAAGCACTGGGGGGAAAAATGTTGCAGAGGTTGCTTGCTTAGTGGGTCAGATTTTGATCCTCTCATGGGAAGGTTGAGAGCTCAGGAAGCAGTAGCGTGTGTAAAGTGCTCCAAACAAGCAGACGGGGCTTTTCTAGTGCAGGGAATATTGAGGAAAAATTGGGAAATGTACGAAGGCCAATTAGGCTTAGAATTTGATGGAAATCTCTGTGTGCCACTGCTGGCAATTTTTTAAAAAGCTTTCTAACCTGAAATGAGTTCTTGAAGAAAGTCATCTGAAAAATGTCACTTCCTCATTGCTGCAGTTTGTAGTGGAAATGTGTAGGGTCCGATGAAAGTTTATCTGGGAGAAACGTCTCTGCTCTAGGATAAGTGTTAGTCTGGAAGCAGTGAGGACAGTAACTTGGTATTTAGGGTCCCACCTAAATTCAGGCAGCTTCTCTGTGTCAGGTCCTTCTCCCTCCAGTCTTGCTGCAGAATGGGAAGATATCCTGAAGCGGCAAAGTTGGGTGGGCTCTACTTTGTTTCATCCCTCTTGAGATGGTCTGAGGCCACCTAGGACACAGGGTGCCAGTTCCCCATCTAGCAGCGGTGTTCTTCCCACTGGCAGCACCTCAGGTGTGGCTTGTGGGGTTTCAAGGGTATGTTGGGAAAGATGACTCCACACCATTCTGGGACTCAGGGACTCCTGGCTTATTTCATGTGTTATAGACAACATCTTTTTGTCAGTGGAGGTGTGAACGTTCACGTTGCTGCCTGCACACATAAACCAGGGAGAGCGAGCAAAAAGGCTTCCACACACCCAAAACTGTAGGATTTCTTAGACTGTAACATACTGTCTGAGCCTTCTGGAAATGGGTCTCCCTTGTTATAGTCACCCCATCTCCTCTGTTGAACTTTCTTGCAGCCTATTTATTAAGGAGGGAAAGCACCCTACATAATTAGATGTAGTAGTAAATTTGGGGAATGCTGATATGAGCTTGAAATCTGCCTTTACTCTGTTTTTTAGGACATCTTCAGGAAGGAAGACAGAAATCATTCTGGATTTCTTGATGTGTCTGGACTGAAGAGTGCAATACAGACAGCAGGTATGACCATAGGTGCTGAGCAGCTCCCTTTCTTGTCCCTGTGGCAGCGAAGGAAAGGATGAAAAAGAGAGAGGAAAGAAAAAAGAGCTTCAGGGAGAAAGTGGTTTGGATTGCACAGAGATGCCAGTTAGATCACAGCTCTGCTCAGAGGTCTGCATTGGTTTAGGGCATTGAGACAGAAAGCTCATTTCAGGGAGAAACCCTTTGCACTGCAGCTGGGGAGCCAGCAGAGAGATGCGGAGAAGCACGGCACTGGCCAGAGCCTGCAGACTGGCTTATCTGTAGTCTCTCTAGGTCATGGACAAAACATCTAGCAGAGGAAAGGAGCAAGGAACAGTCGATGCTTGCACTTGCCCCAGTTCCTGCAGTTTCTCTTCAGGGCAGTGACTAAGTCTATAAGGGAAAGCCACAGAGACAGACATTTATTTAGTTTGCGCTGACCTCTGTTGGCTACATGAATGCTGAAACTTGCAGTGAGTGCATGGGACCCCTTCACATGAGTGAAGCATTTTAGCTGGACAATCTCTCCAGAGACTTTGTGCGTGAAATATAGCTCTGAGACAGCAATCACGCAGTAGAGAAGCTCCCATTTGGCTACCTGGAGCTTGGAGTGGTGGTGTCCCCAGGACAAGCCTCGTGCAGAAGTGCTATCCGTGGAAGCCATCAGCTCAGGGGATGTACGTGTAATATTTTGTTGCTGAGAGGTGGGCAGAGCATTAGCATCTGCCTGAGGAGTGCAGTACTAATGTGCCAAATGTCCAAGGAGAAGCTGCCAGGTCCCTTCTGTAAGAAAGTCGCTAAAGTGTAAAACTGGGAGGAAAATCATACATTGAGAAGTCCTGGCCGCCGAAACAGTGCAGCAATTTGAAGGGATAAAAAGGCAGTATTAAATGGCAAATTCAATATATTAGGCTATAAGCAGTTCTGAGTGGGGGCAGAAAAGAAAATTTTAAGCTCATTCTTGCCGCCTTCTGAGCCAGACGGCTGCATTTGAATCTGTCTTTGCATTATGATGATCCCTGTCCTGGCTTTTAAGCAGGAGGAGCAGACAGCCTCAGAAAGAGTTTGGGAGGTTGGTGCTACCTCTGGGAATGGCACTAATGTATCTAAATACATCTCCCAGCGAGCAGTTCCCTGAAGTGTTCAGTGCTTTCCCCAGCAAAACACTGAAGTGTGTGCTTAGTTTCACTGTTGTCCTAATGCTGCAAAGCATAGTAATGATGGGTCAAGTTTTCTGCCGGAGTAAAGCAGGCTAGCTGCATTAACAGCAGTGCTGCCCTGAAATGCAGGAGCATTGGCCTGCGGTATTTACAAACTCCTCACTGACAATATTATGCATCAAAATAATTAAAAAAAAAAAAATAGGGAAACATAAAGTCTGTATTTTAAAGCTTGACTAAAACCAGAGTGAGGAATCCGTCAGACAAAAGGTACGGGGAGTAACCTTACAAATAAGCAACAGCACATAACTGAAACATCTTGGGAACAGAGAAGACTGACACTTCAGTCTTGTTGATGAGGTTAATTGAGAGACATTGCCAGGTGAGAAGATTTCAGAGCAAGTATATCTCAGACTGACCATGTGAAATTGTCAGTGTTTTACTGCTGTAAGACATGATTATAGCATCTCGTAAACAGCACTGCAATGCTTGCTGGAATCTGCTCTCCAGGGAGAGCTTGATTAAATTCCCACTGCCTTCAAAAGGTTAAAAATGAGATAGGATTCATTGCTCACTACTACAGTGGTTCTTGGCAGTGGTTTAAAACCAGAATCAAAGAAGAAATTTCATTAATTAGATTTTTTTTTTAATTACTAACTTTTTCTTCTAGGAAAAAATCTAAAATTGGGTTTATCTTAATTTGAACTGTATCTCAAACCCAAATGTATTTCCCTGATTTAAATATTCAGCATTGTGTGTCTGCTTCCTGCTGGAGACCTTCTCCAACTAGGCTTATGCAACCGGCTTTTGTTGACATACAAACCCACTTCCATTGGCTGTATCTGTATACACCTGTATACAGGTGTAGAGAAATTGTTTCCTTCTTTTCTGATTATTCAACTCATTTGGCTCCATGATGAGTTCATTTAAACCTGAAAAGTTTAGAGCTGGTTGAAAAAGCAGGAAAGCTACTTCTCTTCCAGCTGAGCCACTAAAAACTAGGAGTGAGCAAACGAGACTTTTCTGAAGTCTCAGAGAATGCATTAAACTGAAGCCACCGATCCAGCTCTCTGCAGAAAATTTCTCTTTTGTTTAGCAAATCAGCTTTTAGTGCAAAATATATTTAAATAATTTCTCTTACGTAGCCAGCACATTTAGGGTAGTTTTATTTAACTAATAAAAGAATCATTCTAAAAGGCAATTTTTGTGCATTCAGTTGAATACCAATTACCAGCCAAACAGACTATGGCACAAATACTGAATAATCAGCTAATAAAAAGGAAATGCACCCTTCACCATTTTCTAATAGAAGAGAAAATGTAAAAATTAAGAATCCCAGGCATGCTATACTGCATAATAGCATGAGTGTGTGGTATCTCTCTGTTTAGCAGAAAGCACCAGTGGTATTGTAAATGCTACGCTCAGACTTTAACAGTTATGAGCCAAAGAAAATCACCCTTTTGTATAGAAAATAAGAGCTAAAAAAGCTAAGCAAGATAACACTAGATTAGTTAGCTCTATGTTTCCTGCTTGCTGACCTAAGTCACAATTCGCGTAATTGACTAAATGGACTTGGATCTTCCATCACCCTACCCTGACTATTACACACAAACCTGGGGGAAAGGCAAGCTGCCATCCAGGGATGCAGAGGAGACCCAGGATGACAGGGTGGGGGGCTGAGGGAGAGCCCCAGCTTCTTTGCAGGGTGCACAAGGCCAGCAGAGCCCGTCCATCATCCCACAGTGAGTCCCCAGTGCTGTTGTTCCTCTTCCCTCCACAGGCCTGGCCGCTAGCGAGCAGCTGCTGCTCCTGATGGCCCTGCGGTACGGCGATGCTGCCAGGAGAATCGGCTTCTCTGACTTTGTGTACTGCATGCTGCGCCTTGAAACCATGACCTGTGAGTCTCGGCGCCTGGGGTTGGGCAGGGGATGTGGCAGCAGGGTCCTTCCCAGGGGAGATTGCAAAGACAGACTGAGGGCAGTGGCAGGAGGCAAGGGACACGCTGCTAGACATGATAATACATGCCTAACAGCATAGCTTGGAAATAACAAACTTGCCTGAAGCCCAGGGATGGTCCAGGCATCCCTTTGGGCAGTCTGTTTGCCAGAACCTATTTGCCTCCTGCCCACAGGAGCAGCTGGCTGGTAGAGAGCGGTTTAGTGCTGGGAGAAAGTAGCAGCTGGGAATACAGTGATGCCTTTGCTGAAAGGAGCCAGAAAGAAGGTTGGCCCCCAGTTTCCCATCAGAGCTCATCAGAGCGCCTGTGGGCTGCAGCGGCAGCACACTGCCCTGTGTTTTTCCCTGCTGAGGAGCGATGGTAATGTATATCCAGAGCTTCTTCAGCTGCCAATCCTTTTTTGCTGCATGAATTTAGCTTGCCCTCTGCAGGCTTGTCCTTACAGCCCCTATGCACAAAGTCTCATTTTCTAAAAACAAGATGTGTTCTTGTGCTAGTGCCCTTCCACACAAGCTTGAGCATCCTGGTCCACAGCAGAGCTTCCTCCAGGGTGGTGTGGAGCATTGCCAGCACCACCGAGGGGAGACTGCATGCTTTCATGACCAGTGAAGAGGAGAGGCAACTCATCTCAAGTGGAAGGCTTTCTCTTTTGATTAAGATTTGGAGAAGTCTGAACCACAGCAAGGGAGGCGCTTTTTTTTTTTTTTGACTGGACAGATGTTCCCACCAACTTCCATGAAGTTCTCTCAGTTTTTTGTTAAGGAGGAGGTCTGAGATCCTTCTCAGTGGATAAACAAACCCGTGCCTTGTGTTGTGTCCAGCTATTGTCTGGCAGTTGCAAGGAGGGATTGTCTGTAAACAAGCCTTTGCCTGAAAGTAAATGGAATTCTTTTTTATTTTACAAAAGCCTAATTTTTGCTGTTATAAGTATTTTGACTTGAAATACTGGTAGTTAAACAGACCCAGCAATTGTGACCCATGTGCTAGAACATTGCTGCAGCAGTTTAGTTCATCTTTGGAATGAGCTAGGTTTCAACAGCGCATGGAAATGAGTGTTCATTTTTTGCCCATGTGATTTTACCACTGATGTTTTATGGGCCAGTAGTGGTCAGCAGATCCACCTGGATGACACTGCCTAAAATCCCATTTCAAGGGAGTACAGCAGAAGCAGCTCAGAAAGTCAGAGTGTGTCCTGATTTTAATGCTTTTGTTGAAAAACAGACATCCTGTAAACACCCATTTTTTGTTATTTTACATGTTATTTGCAGTAGATGAAAATTCTTATGCCTAAATTAGGACCATGGCATTTTTTTTTTTCATCTTAAAAAAGATTCTCTTACATTTTCAGTGCTGGTGTAAAGACCGCTCCTTTACATCCATGTAGAAAGGAGCCTCTAAGAGTTTCATTGCTGTCTGTAATGAGTATCTTAAAATGCTCTCAAGTCTTTCAGTTATCACTTTACAGAGGTTTTAATGTGGAATACATTTCTAAAGCTTTTCAAATTATTGTGAACAAGATTTTTACAGGAGAGGAGAAGGGTGCCAAGTGGGAGTAAAAGTAGTCCACCTTTATGATGATGTGAATGCAACAGGGAAGATAAAATCTGTCCCATTAAATGATTACTCATCCTTTCAACATAGCCAGAGATGAGACCCAAACCAAAAGCAGCAGCTTCTTTGCAAACTCTATTTAACTGGAGTTAATGAAGCAGTAAAGGGGCGCTTATCTCTGCCCAGAGGAGGTAACTTCAGCGCTGCCCTTTGCTGCTAGAAGGACTGCTGGGTGCAAGCCCAGCCCTGCAACCTTGTCAAGGGTGTGGGTGCAACACGGGGATTTCCTTGTTCTATGCCTTTCTTCAGAGCACTATAAGCTGGATGTACTTCATCATATTAGCTTTCCTCCCGGCCTTCTCCCTGCTCCGGATCATATAGGTAGCTCTGGCTGCCTCCTAAGGGGCTGATGAGCAATGCAGCCTTGTGCCCTGTTCCTACGCTCTCCCAGCAGCCTTGCACTTTTGTCTAAAGCTGGGCAGGTTTCAAAACGTTCATGATCTTATAATGCCTTTTCCATTCAGTCTGGGGAACAGGCTCCTGGAGAAATCTGTCATTCAAGGATAGACAGACTTAAATTTGTTTCAACTTTTTATTACTGTTTATAACAGCACATTTCTAGGAGAAAAGTAATTTCAAAGTAAATAAAAAGAACCCAAAATACTGTGTTTTGACTTTATCCAAACACTTGGGTTTGAACATTTCTCCTAGACAAACTGCAATATAAATGTGCACATAGAATATCAATATTTGAATGGATTTAAATTTTCTGATGGCAAAGTGTTCCATCAGAAAACTTTCAGCAATGTTAATTTCAAACTCTAGCTGAATAACAGCAGCATCTGCATTTATATTCCCTGGAAAAAGCTTGCAAGGCATACTAATGACTTCAAGAGAATCACTTTCTTTAGGGCACACTGTGATCACTCATTGCCAGGGAGGATGGAAAAGGACCAACAGAAAGTTTCCCTGTGGGAAGATGTGTTTCATTAGTTCACGGTTCTCCTGTCAGTCTTCAGGCGGGAGCTGCTATTGAAGCAAATTATGAGAGTAGATGAAAGCAGTCACATTGAGCACTCCCTGTCCCTACACTTCTGCCAAATTCTGGCCCTGCAATTGGGACGCCTTCGCAGGCTGTGATCCAAGGGACAAGGCTGAAGGGGTACCCAGCACAGAAATGAGATGTGGCTAGACAGGACAGTGTGTGTGGACACCTGAGCCAGGCAGAGCACAGGGATCACAGCTCTGCTCCTCAGCTGCCACAGCCTTATGTCTGCGTTGCAGTCTTGCTTCCTCCTCATGAAATAACAGTTTTCTTTGTTCTACCCCTAGATGCATTGCAAAACTTAGCAGAAGGCAGATCACAAATTTCAATGACGACAGTGGAGGTGAGGATGCTCCTTCTTTCCCTTCTCTCCAGGTCCAAAGTGGGACCGCTGAGTAGGTTAGCAGGAGGGCGAAGTTAAAGATGATGTGTGATGTATATTGCATCTGACACTGACAGCAGTGAGGGGTTTGCCTGGCTGGATGTGTGTAATGGGCAGCCAGGAGGTATTTCCCTGGGGTTCCCTAGCCCCAGTCATGCAGCCTCACTAGGGTGAGCACAGCTCAGTGGTGGCCATCCACGTCCAAAGCACAGTCTTCCCTTACTGACGCCAGCCTGTCTTTGCTGTAAACGTTGCTCAAAGTGACTTTGAGGAAGTGACAAAAAAAAAAAAAAAAATCCATGCTCTCATTTCTTACTGCCCCATCTGTTAATTCTGAATTGCAAAACATCTTGGTTTTAAGAAAGAAATAGCAGACAAATGCTTGCTGCTGCTGTTTGTCTTAAAATCACAGCCTGAAGGATAGCTAGCCGAATGGGGATACATCAGGCTTTTTATCAGCTAGTCTGAAGAAAAAATCCTGCTGTGTTCCATAGTGATATGCCTGAGTGCTGCATTTTATCAGTCTGGGGACGGTTATTTGACAATACAGTGTTTAAAAAGATTTTTTAAAAAAAAAACATTTACAGTCTTGCTGGCTCCTGTTTATACTCTGTGGTTAGTTCAGTGGCTCATAGTTCATTAAATCTTTGTTGCACCAAGAGCTGAGCAGAGATTCCAAGCAGAGGCCCTGAGCCTGTTTTACGAGGCAGTCTGTAGGATAGCTGCAGTCCCAGAGCCTGCCATCCCTTCCACTTGCAATCACGCCGGTGCCATCCTTTCCCAGCAATTGCTCCTGCTGCAGCTGCTGCAATAATTTATCATGGAAAGCAACATACGGAAGGTGTTTGTAGGTCTGAATTGTAATAAGGGAAAAAGACAGTGCCAAAACCCCTTAACTATCCTGTGCAGGACAAAAGGACCATAGTCACTGGGTCACAGCCTGAAGGTGAGACACATGTCTGAGGACTTAGCGTAACATCACTATCTAAATGCACCTTTTCTTCTCCTTTTTCCAGTGGCTGACTCTTGTCATGTACACCTAAAGAGATGTCAGAGCTCAGTGTGGCTGGTAAGAAATCTCATTAGTACTATACATACTGAAAAGGCAGGCGTGGGTGCCCTTATAGCAGCCACAGTGAACATGAGTGGGGGGCCTTACAGAGAGCTCACCCTGGGGTTATGGTGGGTTTTGAGAGAAAGAGAAAAGGTGAGAGCTGCAGCGTGAGTGGAGCCAGAGAGGGGCTGCAAAGGGAATTGGACTTTGGGCAATTTTTTCTGTGGAATTGCTGACGGCCTTATCAGTTGCTCAGACCACCAACGGCTCAGTTAGCCACTTGCCCCCTGTTGCCACCTGAGGTAATACATTTTCAATAGATCAACTAGCAGAACTTGTCTTTTTTGTCTTCTAAGGGATGCAATTACTCCTGCATATCTTACATAGCTGGAGCACATGTAAAGCCAAGTAGAGGGTGGGGATCTGAGGTCACTTAGATCTCTTGGTCAGTCTGATTTCACATTTTTAACTGAATTATGTAATTTAGTTTACCTTTGAACAACAGTTCCTACTATGTGTTTCATTTGATGTTTGCTCCCTCCATGTCAGACCCGGAGACGGGTTATTTTGCCCTGAAGTTTACCTGGACTTTCCATTTTTGCTACTTGGTTCTAGTGATGAACTCTGCCTTTTCCTAAAAAACTTGTCTTGTTTATATAACTATAAACCATCTCAGCCACTGTTGTTCTACTAACCCATTGGGATGCAGCTGTTTCCAGCTGCAATAGGTAAAGCATTAGTGCTGGTCCCAGACAGTTGGCACTGAGGGGAAAACAGGGAGGAAACCTAATCCTTAGGGAAAAGGTACAGTGGAGGGCCAGCAGCCTCTTGCCATTGTGTTGTGGTTGACCCCAGGAATTCACGGAGCACCCTTGGGCAACCCAGTTCAAAAACTGAGTGAAAAAAAAAAACCAGGACCTTCATTGAAATCCAGGGACTGCATCCAGATGAGCCTTCCTATAGACAGGAATTACAATAATAAATTATACATGAACAGCATCTCTGGTATCTCACATCCTCTTTCTGAAGGCAGTTGACATTGGATGCCAGCTCTGGTGAGAAGCTGAAAGAGGAAATGTATAATCAGGGTGTAAATTACACTCCCCCAGGGAAAAAGCATGGTAGATTCAGACCCAAGGCAGGGACGGCTCTGTGTTTTTCACCCTTGGCTCCAGGACAGCATTCGTGCCTAGCTGCTCCTCTGTCTTGGCTCCTAATTGCATCCACTGTGTCCATCTGCAGCAGGAGCTGGGCTTCACCACTCAACACGGTGATGCCTTCACCTCTCTGAGCTCTGTTTGCACACAGTGATTTGTTCGAAAGTCTGCCCTTTGCATTTAGAGAGCTTTGGACAGTGCACCTTCCCTTTGTCACAGCAAAGCTGTATTTTGATGTGTTGATGTGTAGAAACAGATTATTCACAACACAGCCCCCACCCCTTGCACCGCAGGCTATCATTAAGTAAATATGAGACTAGAAGGACCTCATTTTGGGGGATGAAGTTGCTTAAATTATTGCTTGCAAATGATATTCATAGTCTATTTAGTCATCTTTTTTTCTCTCATGAATAATTCATAAACTGATCATAACTTCTGCAAATATATCATTAATCATAATTTTCACTTACTGGTTTTGAAAGAAATTCTGCCTGTAGGGTGTTCATAAGCAGTTCACTTGAACAATTCAGAAGCCACTTGCAGCCGGAGACTGGGCGGTCACAGCACGGGCCCCTCAGAGGACTGAAATTCTTTAAACTAGAGCCTAACAAACCATGAGTGATGTGAGAAACACACTTGTTGTTTGTTGGAAAAAATTCTGCTGAAAAATGTATTCTCATTAGTGATTTCTAAAGACTGACCTCCAGCTGTCTGTGTTTTGAGTGAGTGTCTTTACCTCTGTTTTAGGTGGCTTTTCTGCTCCCCAATATGATATCACCCAAGACCATCCCATACAAGAGCCATCCATGGGGCTCTTGAAAAACCAAACACTGTGAAGGAGTGAAGCCAGGTTTCTTATGGACATTTGCTTATGCTTGATAGTACTCAGATGTCTGGATGGAGAGTCCTTTTCAGGCAAACTGGAGTTGCTTTGGAGAGAGAAGAGGAGATAGTGAGAGAGATCCATGGGCAAGCTGGTAGTACTTAATGGTCAGGGCAAGCTGGAAGTGCCAAATATAATCTCTGAACTTCATGTACATCAG